GAAAACAGATTGGTGGTTGGAGGTAGGAGGTAGGGTGGGCAAAATGGATGAAGGGGGTGAAAAGGTACAAACTTTTAGTTATGAGATAAATAAGTCCTAGGGACTATTGTTAATAATACTGTATTGCATATTTGAAAGTTGCTAAGAGAGTAAGTTTTATTGGAAGAAAAAATAACATTGTGACTATGTATGGTGATAGACGTAAACTAGACTTATTGTGGTGATAATTTTGAAGTATATACAAATATTGAATCCTTATGTTGTACACCTGAAACTAATATGTTATATGTCCATTATACTTCAATAATTAAAAAAAGATACTTAAATCCCTGCTTACCATTCCAGCTCCGTCTCTGGCTATTCTCAGATGCCTGTGCTATTGTCTAGCTCCACTGGAATAGTTGCCATTCCCACCCTGGACGTGTGAGAGGTTCCTTCAGCTTCCAGGCACCTTGGCCCAGCCCTGTGCTCCTGCAGGGGCGCTCTGTGCCTTTCCCACTGCAATTGTCCTCCTCCCCTCCCCACCCCGCCCCGTCCCCAGTTTCTGAACTATGTGAAGGCAGGGACTGCTTCGTGTTCATCACCATGCTCAGCTCAGCCTCTGCACATTAAATACAGCTATTTGTTGCATTAATGAAGTTGTAAAATTTCCAGAGAGAAAAATCAGGAATCTGAATGTTTATTTCCTGGCTTCTCTGGGTCAACGGCCCCAAATGAATGTAGCATAGCATTACACTGGAATGAGGTTATGTTTTATAAGTGATTCAATTCTGTCCAGTTTCACAAATTAAACCCATAAGAGTATTGTATAAGGCAAAAGTCAATTGCTAAATAAAAGTAAACAGTCACATTGCTAAAGTAAAATGTTTAGAAATATCAATATCAATTTCTTTTTTGAAAATCTTTTCTTCCAAAGCCCTCACTCTCTCTCTCTTTGCCTCTTCTTTGTAATTTTCTTCATTAGGCACTCTGCCTTCTGTGTACCCAGGATGTTTTTTATTTGGAAGTCAAATATTTCGTGTCTGTCACATCATTTCTGTGCTTGCCTGAAGTAAACAACCATAACACAATAAAGAGAATGCTGTTTGCTCAGGAGTCACTGTGGGAACTCCAGGCAGCAAAGGGTTTGGTCAGTTGGACTAGCAGGTCCTCTGTTAGTCCAAAGGTTTGACTAATTTCTGCCACTTCCTGGTTGGTCTGGAATATTGTTTATGGTGGGAAGGGATCTGTTTAAAGCCATATTTGTCTTGACCTACTCCATATTATACAGGACAAATATTAGGTTATAACTGTCTTATTTATAAAAACACAGGGAGGATACATCAATGAGCCTTTCAGTATCTTATAGAACTTTAACATTTTGTTTAAAATTAACATTTTAAACAGATTAAAAACAAAGTTTAGTCTGTCCCAACCTTTTGTTGCCAATGCCAGCGCAGCACTGCCTCGTGGTATCTTATTCTGGAAAACGTGACCTGTAAGAAAGTTTAAAGAGTATTCTGTGTATTCCTTAATGGCTAAACAGAAAAGCAAAATGAGGAAACATCTTAAATTCAGACCTCACCATGGTGTAGAGAGGGATAAAGGTAGATGGCATAATAGCATGAAGAAATCTCTCTATGTTCTTTTGGAAGATGAACCATGGTGAGTTGACGTGTGCTCGCATCTGTAAAAATGTAAGAGTTTTAAAGATTACCTCGAACAAAGGACTTTTATTTCTTCACCACAGCTTACTAATACTCTTTATTCTGATTCATCACAAAGCCAACACAAAGTAGTCAAAAAATTTCTTGTTTCCATAATAGTCATTCCCAATCCCTTTTAGTAAACGTCAATAATATACAACATTACCTTGAAAAGAGAGAGCAATTACACGAAACCTCTTTGAGAATGCTATTTGCTCAGGGTCGCTATGGGAACTCTATTGCAGCAAAGGGTTTGTTCAACTGGATCTGCAGGTCTTCTGTCCAAAGATTTGACTAATTTCTGTTGCTTCCTGGTTGGTTTGGAATATTGTTTATAGTAGGAAGGGATCTGTTTAAAGCCATGTTTACCTTGACCTACTCCATATTCAGGACAAATATTGGGCTATAGTTGTCTTAGTTTTAAAGACACAGGGGAGATAAATGAGTGAGCTTTGCAGTATCTTATAGAACTTCTTTCACTACCTATAAAACCATTCTGCTCCAGTTGAAGTCCACTTCATTACTTTCTGCCTTCAGAAGAGATGGAAAACAGTTACACTCTTCTTTAAATTTATCTCAATTTTTTTCATTTGGTTATTTTAAAACTAAAACAGCAGTCATTTATGGTGAGATTTTCATGTGACTGGCTCAAAATGGAATTGTGTTTTTCTTCAGATTATTAATCTTGTGACCAGGAATTTTTTTT